TTTTGTCAAACTTTTTGGGGAAAGGGCTTGATATAAGTTGGAAAAGTTGTGTCCAATCCCATTGAAATTGTTTAATAAAATATCTTTATATCAAATTATCTTTATATCAAACATGCTCATTCTTTGTTCTCTGTTTTATATATCTAAAATCACAAAAGAGACCAAGAACAAATCAGTACAACTCAAGAGCACAATATCCAAAATACTGAAAGTATGTCTTTGTATGTAGTATGTGTATTTATTCCAAAATGTTTTCTCAATATTTCATGTATTTTACTACCAGTTTATCCCAATATGTTTTGTTGATATCCCAATATGTTTCATAATTTGAAATTTAGCAGAGAGGCAAATACCTTTATCTACATATATGTATTTCCGATACAAGAAAAGAGAAAATAAAAACATTCTCCATTGGTTTTATGTCATATAACCGATTCAGTATTAGTATCAAACGGATCAGTTCAGAAACGAATTATGAGTTAAGTTATGATAATTTTGGAGGACAATGTTGACGTCATCCTGTTTGTTTACATAATGAAGCAGTCACGTGTTTCTATGTGAATACATTAGTCTGTTATGGGAATGATTTTATGTCCTGTTGATAGGTTTCCATAGAAACAGACCAGGATACGACTTATCAGCTGAAATCTACGTAATTGAGTGGTTTCATAGGAATTTTTTTTAAACGGTCGTTTCTCCGAAACTTGTGAATATGACAATAGTGACTAAAATATTTGTATTCATTGAAGATTTGTTTTCGTCGACTTTGAATGTTCATACACTAAACGATTTTTTTTTGTCCACGAACATTAAAAATGATTGTAGGTAGATTTTTAAAGTTATACTTATCCACTTAACCAAGTGTCCACGAAATAATATTTTTCTGAAAACCATGAAAATTACTACCCACAAAAAATATGATTCTGCAGTAAATAAAAAAAAATGATATTAAGTAATATTAAGGCAGTACAAAAATATATGTGAATAAAGAGCTAGTCTATGATATTTGTAGGTAACGAAGAACATCAGTTTTCCAGCTTCACGTACTGGCAGACATCACCTTGGGGACCAGCCGACACGAGCCTTGTCATATACATTCACAATATACATACATTTTTTACTAAACATACAGATACATGTCGCTAGCACTGACAATCACTGGAGCAGCATGTAAATCCTCTAATTTTAAGCTTCAAGTTTAAAAACATTCCCCAGCTTAGTGTGAAGTATAAGTGCATAATTAGGGACATGCGAGAAGGTAATCGGTTGTATTCACATACAAACGAGCCTTTCAAAAACATGACTGAGGAGAAACACATGAAAATTAAATTTCCAAAATTTGAAACATCAAACTAGTATATGTGTGTGAAGTAATTATGATAAAAGGGAAACGCATTTATTTACGAAAACAAAGAAAATATCGTTTTTGTTTGAACCAAAGAGAGCATGTTCCTCGTCATGCGCAATTGTGTTTCTACAACAATGTAAATTTTTTGTTGCAAATGGTTTATTTGGATAGTCAAACATTTATCATTGTTTTTTATCTTTAAAAACTTAAGAGTACAACGAAAAGTAAAGTGAAGACTCCCAATTTCTCGTTCCGTTAGATCTGTATCTTCTAACGGAAACACCAGCGGTAACTTTGAAATGCAATATCAGTAGAAAAGCCACGTGACTCTGGAACTGACATGCACGTGCTCACAAAAGGATATATTACTCATGATAAATTCATGTCTGTTTCAAACAACTCTATTTAATTACACAATATAGATACATTGAAACCTGCCTCTAATATTATCAAATATTTCCATAAATGAATCAAAACGTCTTGCATTAATTTGCCAACAAACCTTTCTCTGGATAAAAAATGACATAGGAAATGTCCAACGAAAGCGGATGTAACAATTTATCTATTGAATTGCCCCTATATAGGAAATTCAAAAGTAACACTCACCGTTCTTTAAAGCATTCAGACAAATAAACTTTTAAGCGGAATCAAGTTTCTAGTTCTTACATTTTATGTAAACGATAATAACTTGTATTGTTTTGATTTGTTAAATTGAGGTATCTGTCTATCTCACGTACTATTCCGACCTCCAACGTAAAAAGGAGTGGGGATCTAACTGCTCTATAAGATTATACAATCCCCGCGAAGTAAGTTTCACCTGAACCAAAGTCTGTTTAACTTGCCTATGATAATACCCATTGTTTATATATTGAAGTCTGTTTCATATGATCCTCTGTACCAAGGCTTTTTCCAGATCTATAAATAAATAAATACGGATTTCGCGGTATGTTTTTTCACTGAAACACATCTTACGATTCCTGGAATGTAATTTTATTTTTGTCACGGTTAAGATAACAATGCTTTTGCTAATTAGAATCCGGATATGAAATAACATCCCCGACCTTGTATAGCGTTAGTGGAACCTCATCGATACACTGTAAAACATCTGTTTGTGATATACCCAAGGCAATGATCGCTTCTAGTGAATAAGACGTCGGATAAATAACAAAAGAAAGATGAGAAATTCTTTTCAGATCTCATAATAAAAATCTCGAGAGATTCCACAATTGTTATAGAACAACTGATTATAAACACTGTCTGTGTTTCTGTCCTTCATTCATCCTTCCATTTCACACTTTCTGTTTATCCGCTCTGTCCTTCCTTTTCACAGAAAATCTTCTATATCATAAGTTCCTATTTCGCTTTCTATCTAACCTGCCCTCTAATCATTCCCATCAGCGGATAAGCTGTTAGAAACCCATAATTTGTCGTGTGTATCATAGCAAGCCTGAGAAGAGGGTTGAGGGTACCCCGGCTCAGAATGACCCTAGCTGTTTACAGGGTGATAAACACAGCACACAAACAGGTAGCGTGGTATATTGAAGCTATTGACATGTTAACTGGCTATCCCTGGCTATCTATAGAAATGATTACAGCTAGGTAAGCAAGGATCTGGCATATTTGTTGGCTGACCAATCTAAACTGACCATTGTTATCTAGTCTTGTCAGAGATTGATTGTGGGCCCACTTAATATTTAACACAGAAAAATAAACAAACGCGGACCTGGTGTCGACAGACAAATACAGGTGATACTATCAGTATTACCTCTTGTATGTTAGCAGAACTGGTTTTACACCTTCTCAAGTGTTTAAGTGGTCACCTATTCTGTTCAGAATCGATACACACCACATAACGTATAGAAGGAACCCAGTATATTCTCAATTCAGATAATATGCCATGAGTACGTGACCGGTGCTGTGTTTCTGATGTGACATTCTCTCTATATATAACGCTACTAACCCGGGGAGTACTGAAATCATTACTGAGACCTTGACCTACTTTGATCTTGACTGTATGGGTACGTTCAATAGGCATTACTGTGTCCTTGACCTATTTTGACTTTGACCTATGATCCCGTAACCGATGGGTTCCCAAATCCATTCTGTGGTCTTGGTGGTATATCGAGTATAGAATCTTGACTTTTACGTTACAGTCCTAGGGTATCAAACCTAATTGTAGTGAACCTCGACTATTGTGATACAAACCTAAGATATCATTAATCCTTTAATTTGTGACGATATCATTTATAATCACCCAGAGGTGATACTCTGAATAGCCATTTACGAAATGTCATAAAAAGTTTTCAATAAATAGTCAGAATTTAAAATCAGAATGATATCGAATTTTGACCATACGCCATGACACGTCGTTTTGGGAAACAGAACGAGTAGTAATGCAGATTGATTGGTTTCACCTTGACATATAAGGGACCTTGACCTATGACTTATAGTTGAGAAATGTGATAAATTATTAATTGTGTACACCATTGTTATAAGTTTTTCTTCAAATATTGAGACACTCATATCTTCTCCTTCTTCTGACGATGATGATGAAATTTGACTTTATAAACTTAATTTAGTATTCGCAAACCTAAAACATATCCATCAAAAACTTGATACCAATGAGTTTTTACAACAATGTTATTTCAATCTTCTGCATAGTTTTGGAGAGACAATGCTAGACTTTTGCCCTCCCTCCTTTATGTTAGAACAATAATAACATAAGGTCTTAATCCTCTATTCTCAAATATACGTATATCATATCAATTTATAATATAGATTATATAGAAGTTGATCTTACTAAGACACACTGCCGAATACTTTACGTATTTAGGATTTACAACGCATGACATCAAATTAAAACAGCGAAGCGAAGAGCTTTGAAATCTCTTGAAGGATTTTTGGATGACATGGAAGCGGACATCTGATATAGATAATTAAAAAAAATGGAATGAAATTCTCCATGACATTCTGCTTCAGTGGAGTTAGTGGTATGATGTGGCCATGTAGGGTATCCAGGTTCCAACATTTCAGTATGACCACACTATAAAAATGTAATCCAATAGCTTCATCATCAGTGGTTGTTTCGTGAATGTTGTTCTCATTTCAGAACCTGATATCATCGTTGGAATAGCCAAGATTTACATAAGATTTTTTGTTAATATTTTCCCTCTTTTCATTGTGTTTTAGGCATCAATTTCATTGAGTTGTTGAATAGGTTAACATATTGTCAATTTCTTATCGTTTTTGACGTTAGTCAATAAACAATTTTATATAACAATCAACAGGGTATTCTCTCTGTTCTATGGTAGAAATATTTGACGTTCTGTGCATTTTCCACTAAACATTGACCGATAACTCTGTCTCTCTCCCTTAAATTGATAGGATTCCCTTTAATCAAATAGATCACTGTGACCCGGAACTTATTAATGATCTTAGGGAGCATAGGTCACGCCAGGAAACTGTCTACAAACACGTGATTTAAAATTCAAACATAGTAATGACGCTGTTACGTCAAAAGGTCATAAAGGTCATAAGGACAATTGTTCACTCAGAAACACGATTTCCATCCCCTTTCGTATTAACACTGTGAAAGGTCAAATTCGAGGTTACGGTATCATTGACATATATATATAAAACAAACAACAATTCATACATTTTACATTTTTATTTCCATGATTTTAACATAGGTAAATTTAAACATAATAAATGGTCTGATCGTTAACAGTAAATTATGCTTACATACGGGTCTTTCGCCCGGCTCAAGTATAGTACTGATTTCACTAAATACTTTAAGTAATGTTGATAACTAAGCGAGAATTTACGTGGCATGACGAGATTTGATCGTCAAATGATTCGCAATGTAATTAGTTCTGTTTTTTTATAAGTTAGCCATTCACATTTAAATTTTAATTTTAATTTACATACAATCTTAATCAATGATGCATCTATGGATTAACAAAATTTACATATATATGATATATCTGCACATCTGATCACGTGACTTAACTAAAACATTTTGGACATTGTTACAGCGGCTATTTTGATAATAACGCTACTTATCTAATTTATACAGAGGACAATAATGAATGTAAAAAACTACAATAAACTACTCGATGCCGTTAGAATTCTACTTGAATTTCTTCCTACAAATAACAGTGAAATACTTCATTAAAACATTACCGAAGTACATCGATCAATAGTTAAACAAAATATGTAAATTAGTCACGTGATCAGATTTGCATATTAATTCGCTATATACAATAACGATAGCTTGGTAATAAATAATATAATAACAAATATTCTGCCCCTGCTTTTTACATACATGTGATGGCTTCTCAAAGCAGAGGCTACAATAAATAGTGTAGACCAACAAATGTATCTTGGTGGAGTCATGTTAAATTAAAGCATTCGGCAAAAATCGTATTCTACGAAAAATGTCGAATAGCTTTCGGTAAATGTCGTATATGCGAATTTGCGCTACGAAATCGAATGATTCCATTCAGAAAGGAATTGAGGTGTTTCTCTTCTGTGGTGAAGCAATGCCCGTAACATGACGTTGAATTGTGTGCCTTTACCAGTAAAAGTCCTGTCTATTCTAAAGAAAATGAACCGTTGCTTGGAAAAGAAAAACTTCGAATTACACAATCTTTACAATGATATTGTATCAATGTTACTAAACATGTCTAAAAATAACCTCTTTCACAAAAGTAACATATTTTTTATCTTTGGTTTTTTTAAAGAAAGATGAATATGCTTGTGAATGACGTGACGTCATCGTACCTGACACATTGTCAATGGAACAGTTACCCCTGAGCTTTTAATAGTGGCACATTGTGGAATGCAGTGGGCACATGTTACAGGGAGAGCTCGACAGAAGATGGACCACAATGCACTGCGCCAATAAACAATCGGAGATTTCTAGATTCCTAACACATCATTGATTTCCAAGCTTCAATGAATTCGAGTTACTCAGGACACGATTTACATATTTACTTTCAACAGGACCAGGCGTTATTGCAGGATCTTAAAAGTGCATTGTGGGTTTACCATCGGTATGAGAAACACGTCACTTCCGGTCTTGATAATAAATAGATGAGCTGATATATGCATTTGATTTGATGGATCTTTGTTCTCGGAGGGAACACATCTCTTATCAAGCGGTATTGTGAATGTGAGGTTCGGACGAGGAACTGATCAGGGTTTGAGACAATGTTGATTGTATTAAGCTAGCGATGAAACCCCCTACAACTCACAATCCTTCATCTTAACTGAGATTCAAAAAAGGCTTAATAAATAGAAATAAAAATATAACTTTATCACAATCACGTGACATCTGTACAACCAATCAATGCATTTCAATTTCTGCATCATCTCATTTAAACTTCTCAGTATCACTCATGCTTATCACCTCAGCGTTGCTTATTATCACATCACATAACCATTACACAAGCTTACAACGTCACAAATTCCAAAAATTTGAACGAACCAATCACGCTTCGCTATTCACCATTCGCTCTGTAGTGTGTATATACATAATAAATATGGGGCTTTTTTTTGTCAAACTAAATGACGTCATGATGAGACATAGTCTTCCGTGTTATTTTAGTTATAAAATAAAAATAAATAAGTATAAAAAGCTTTTGATTAACATAATGTACCATCTCCTTCCGGGACCCATCAGATATAACAGTTCATTCTCAGCTAATTAATTAGCCCAAGGCACTACGACACTTTGTAGGCTGGCTCGTTCAAATTATAACAGTCTACGGTCTCATTAAATTAGTATTCCTAGATATGAAGATTCAGTAGTTCTCGTATGTAAAACACACTCGGATGGAGCGTTTGAAAACAAACGGTTTTGCTTATGAGACAAAGACTAGATTTGTCACCATTGTTTCAATAGGATAAAATGCACTATGTTTTATTACAATGGTGATGAATTTTCGACATTTGAATTTTTTCAATGACTGTATTCAGCTTCTAAACTTATAATATCAATATAGCACTTACTAAGGCTGCTACTGTTCTACTAAAAATACAACAGTATATATCAGGATTCCAGAATACATTGCCCAAATAGGAAGCATCCAGTAGGTTTCTTAAATTGATGGTCTCATGTCTAAGCTAATTAACTGAACGTCTCGCGATAACTAGGATTTTTCGGGTATATTAAACTCATTGAACTGATCCTATGTTAATGATATTGAAAACATCGTCTCGCAAAGTCTTAGATGTTGAACATAATTGTCTTATATTTAGACATAACACATATCATCTTAACTGAATTTCTGATGTTTAATTCATTGAACAGATCTCTTAAAAGACCGTATTGTGTTTACAATCTGGTCGTTTTTATAGTTAAGACATTAAACTAGTCTTAATTTATCTTCACGTGTCAAGACATTGAAATGGCATCTAAACTTAATTTCTTATGTTATAACATCGGACATATATCTTCAAAAGATCATCTTTTATTTATGGATTGGCCGTTTAATGTTTAAGACTCTGAACTCGTCTCAATTGATCTTCAAGTGTTAAGACGTTAAACATTTCGCCTTAACTGATTTTTTTTATGTTTTTAAACATCGGACAGATCTTTTAAACCCATCTATGTTTATAATCTTGTCGTTTTATGATGAAGACGTTACACATAATCGTCTCAATTATTAATCTTAGGTTAAGATGTTGAACAGATCATTTGACTGGATTATCATTTTTTCTGTAATCTGATATACTACTCTAATTTACAATAGATTTAATTAATGACTAATACAATTACATATTATGAATATTGATGAATACACTAAATATGCTATCAGTTATAAGTTTATGAATGATACATGAAATATATATATATACAATGTATTATGGTGACGTCATACCTACAGCTACGATGACGTGAGAAACCGTTGATTTTTTTTTGTCTCTAAAAGTTTATAATATATTTTGTCTAAAACTACCCAGTAATCCCTTACAAGATTTGTACTGTTGCATATTCATGAAGACTCATTAAATATTCATTATCATCATGAATATGGATTATACTTATGAATAATGTATCCGATTTATTTTACTTATTATGAATATGCATCAGACTTTTTTTCTTTATATGCCTTTGTCAAGAATAAATCACATTTCATGTGATTCATTGATAAAAATGAAAATTTATATGACCTTGAAAACCGGCAAGGCTGAGCAGCTGGACGTTGTAGCCATGGTAACAAATATATTATATGAAACATGAAAATTTGAACATTATAGTAACATCGACAACATAAAGTAGCTTATTAAAGCTAAACGTATGAACAAATATTTGACAATAATGATAATAATAATAATATTAATGATAATTAGAAATAATATTCATATGCATACGAATGTACAAAAACTGATGTTGTAACCATATTTACGTCTTTTCTTCCATCTTCCATTTACCACATTTCGTCTCGCACAGTCTCTCCATTCACACAATATATAACTCACATTGGGATATTTCAATGCTTCAGTCATATACATACATTTACAAACGACTTAACGTTGCAGTTTAGTCATATACAATGTTACTTTGCATAGAGATCAACATTTAAAATGGGCATGCGCACTCACATTTATCAAAATGAAATAATCCATTCATGGCGCAGCAAATTTCGACAGTCTTTGTAGAAATGTGAATGCAATGTAACATCGATCGTGTACAAAATACACGTTCAAAGTTCGAATCCAAGTACTTGAATGAAAATCTCTCTCTCTTTCCTTATTTTATCACCGAGAAGGATAAAAGTTCCTTGGTCATTCTTGTCCCTAGCAGTAAATAAAAGTATTGTTCTATATATCTTTGAATGAGCTCTCATTATTGCATCCTTTCTTGAATCTGTTGTGGCTGGTAGTGGATAGCATGACCACCTGCGGCGATGGTCGGCGGCACGGCATAGGTGTATGCCGCGGCGGGCGTCACAAACCCATTCGTCGAGGCGGTGTAGGGGAGCTCGTACGCGCCATTGGCGAATTGTGAAGCATAGGCACTATAGTCAATGAATTGCCCAGTGGCGGTTGTGGCCGCTGTCGGGCTCAAACTGCTGTGTTGCATCGACGCAAGGAGACTCGGCGACGTGGCTGCGGCGGCAGAGAGGTATGCTGTTGACGGGTACACATACTGTGGTATTCTGAAATGTACAAAGGGTTAACTAAAATAAGAATGGCGTCTAATCAGAAAAATATACCAGACAGCATTTAAATTTTACGAGGGTTAAAAAGAGTGAAACTTTAACAGATACCGTAGGAGTTTTTTTCAATAGACATGTAACACAACTCATAGCTTACATATATAAGTTAATCAGACACATTTCAACATTTTACCATGTATGAAGTATCAGTACAGTATCAATTCACATTTTAGAGATGTTGAAAACAGAACAGGATTAAACTTTTGTATGATGCATAAAAAGTTTCCAAGTCAAAGTTAATGATATTAAGTGAGTTTACAATTATTTCATTCAATCTTCAACATTTAGCATGAACCTTATACCGGGGAGGTAAAAGGAACACATATTTAGAACAGTAAAGAAAACCAATCAAATCTGTGATATATGCGTGCGATACTAGGCTATTCCGTCAAACATACACACTTAAACGTGAGGATTAAAATTCAGTGTTTATATATGGATGGACAGACTATATATTAATAGGGGTCGGAAACTCTCCACACACAGCGTGGGGAATGATCTCCCTTTACTTAGCTAAATAAAGCCCTAAGTAGGAAATAGGGAACTACGAAGCAATTCAAAAATTTAATCAAGCTTGACATTTGGGACATGATATATCACACCATGTGACTAAAGCAAAATATATGTTGGCGTTATTATTACGATAAAGAGAACGTAACAGAGCGGTACCCTACAAAGTGTGGAGACTCTTAAACCTTGTCGTATTTGTAGAATCCCTGTTGACATTAAACTATCAAAAGTAGCTATGATAGAAAAGGACAGACATGGCAAAATCAAAACACTTTCCCGTCCCCACGCCCCTCCCCAAAAATAAAAACAAAATCAATGACCACTGTTAAATGAAATGACCAAAGAATGACCGATGACCATAGAAAGGAAGGTAACTCCTTGTTGTCCATAGACGAGAGAGAAATGTGCATTTTGCCGATCAAATGGATGTAATCAGCCCAAACAAACATGTGACACAACAAAACCGGAAGTACACGAATTAGTAGCTAAAAGGAATCCTCGAAATATGCCAGAACTTCACTTAACGAACAGCTGAATGGCTTTTGTATTGAAAACGATAACATGTCCACATCAAAAGTGACAAAGTTGGAATCAATAGGCCGTATTTTATCTGTGAATACATGCACTGAATGCCAACTATCGAAGTGAGGAAAAGCGCAGAAAGTATTCAAATGCGAAAAAATGGCAAACAAAGCATTTGAATAACTCAGACTTGTAACAAGCATTATGCTGACCTTGAATAGTTCGACACGTGTTACACAACCCACACAAGTAAATAGGACATCGTTATTAGCGGGTTTAAGTTCGACATCGCCCTACGATTATATGATACTATATATGATAACCCCCTTCTTTCTCTAAGTGCCACCCTTCGTAAATCAATTTCTTTACTTTTTGCCTCAAAATGAGCCATGATTTATTTTCTGTAATTAAACTCCTCGTATGACGGTGTCCTCGGCCATCAAAACATGCACCTTTAACGCAAGCTTTAAAAAATGTGATTTTTATGTGATGGCTGTGCTGAGATAGCTTTATTCGTAATTAACCAGTGCTAAATTAAAGTACACAAATCATTTACCGACTCCAAGATTTAAACTCGGAAATCTAAACACTAACTGAGAACCACGCATACATCAGTATTATATCACGTGTCCTCTGTTTTCAGTAATAAATTTACATCTAGTGAAGACATTTATTCGAAAATAGTTGTTCTATCCAGCCCTGTTAAAGGCATTTCTTTTCTATATATACTCGAATACAACAAAAACGTAAGTAGAGTTGTGTACTTATTGAAACTCCAGACACAACATATGTCTAAAATCACCTAATACTAGAAACCCTTACATAAAGGACATTTAATCTTTTCTAAAGTTTCAAGGCGTAACAATTTTAGTGTGTCATACCTAAAATCACCTACTTAAAATATTTTACCGATTATAAAGCAAATATTTAAAAAGACTATCACAACGTTTTAGTATTGAACTTTATGGCAAGATCACAGAATTTGAATTAAATTGTAAAATAAACTCAGATTGTACTGAGAAGGGCATGTTGAATACCAAATGACCCCTGGTCAGTATTTCTTGACCGTTGGTCATAACCACACGTAGAGTATGGATTACAAAGTTATCGTGTCAATACTGTCACGCAACAATAGGTGAGATGACCAATGAGTTCGGTGTTGAAGAAAATGTTCTTGAACAATACGTCAACTACGGCCACAAGCTGAACCGGTCAACACCAATGAACTGGGCCCATTAGATATCAGTTAGAATGCTTCAACGTTTTTAGTTGATGTAAATTTAGTTTTTGGAAAGTCTATTTTAACGTTGTGAAATTGGACACACTACAACAGCAAAGTTCTTTTGTACGGCAGCATGAATATCAGTTTATATAACGAATTAATATATCGTTTCGTGTGACACAACCTTCTTTCACTATGGACAAATAAATATTGCTCAAAACGTTTTTCATGACGCTTGGTGATATGGTAATTCGATGTACGACAGACTACAAATAATTCATGGCAAGTTAAGCCACACACGTCACATCATAACAAATTCTACTTCCATCCTGCTTTAACGTATCAACGTATTTGTAAAACAAAGTCACGTTTGATTGGTCAAATAATGAAACAACGTCACGTTTGATTGGTCAAATCGATATCAAAGCGATCGGTCAGGTAAATAAGACGTGATGTTTGATAAGCAGGTTCGATTGAACCTGATTCTGTTTCTCAGATCAGTCATATTGCCGTGTTACATCACGAGCTTATTGATATTTTCGCCGGTGGATCTTGCATGTTTGCAAAGGAATTTCTGATCAATATTTTCCAATCTATCAAATCCGGATTCATGGCTTGACGGGACCTAATCCGGTTCTGTCTGTTAGTGTGGGATCACACGGTAAAAACGTTGGGCCGGTGTGTTGACGAGTACACAATAACGAGGGGCTCATTTTCAAACATTCATGCTTTTGGAAAATCAGACAATGAATCATCGACACGATTTTTTTTTATCTTTGCCTTCTTCACATTCGATCACATTAACTGCTCGTTTACCATTTATCCGACAAGAAACGTCTACACCGCGCCCCAGACAGACTTTACTAATTATTACCAAGACAGATCATAAGGAACTCGATTGCCCGTTTAATAATCGATTTCTTTTTCTTTTCACACAATTAATGAACTTCTTTGCTTCATAAAAAACAATAGCAAATGATAACAACACTACCCGTTGCTTGCTCTACTAAGCATGTCATCCTACAGGTATGAAGATAGACACAGTTCCCGTTAGTGTAACGGTCAATACTATGGTACCGCGTTCGTTTATGTTGGCAAACCTACCGGACTATATTGTACAAGAGAATGGTCGACAAGCGTTTGTTGTTTATTCTGTATAATGGAATAATTAGCACTTAGGTCGATCATTGTTAGTGAAAGGTTCAGTGCGGAGTCAAAACGCAGTACTTCAATCTTACAATGCAAAAAAAACCTACTTCTCAAAAAAGTTCGTGTTCAAGAAAAATAATTTTAAGAAAAAAATGAAACACGAAGATATGTAAACACGTTATGGATGAATAACACACTCTCAAAGTATTCAGCATTAATTAGTCTTCCTTAAATCCGTACCAGATAATTGGCATCGTTCCACTTTCAAGCTAACATGGGTAAAGTGAGCGCGATGACGATAACACGTCTCTCTATTCCATTGTTTTCTCTCACAAGTATAAACATATTGTTTCAGCCAGCGTCTCCTGTGAATGAATGGTAAACTCAGCCGACGGGAAAAAACTTGTATTTGGCATAGTTAGATGACTGGACGGCTGGGCTAACGAATATAAGTGCGCAATTGATTTTTGCTGTCTATAGACGTCTGAATTGACAGAGAAATAGTCTTTTTAAAGTGTCGTTCAGCTTTAGTACTAATTGGCGGTCTCTGAACATTCATTCATTCATGAACTACATTAATATAGAATATAGCACGTCGAAAGACTGGTGAAAGCATGAGATCTTGTAACGACTCTAGTGTGATTTACGATGGAACAGCAGACTTGCACTACAGGCACATAGGCTGTTCCATGTGTCTCGTTGCACAATAAAGATTACGATAACACTGTATCCATGATTTCTACAAGTGTGATAAATTAGTCTTATCTTTTTACTATCTGAAAGATATTTTCAATTTATCACTTGTAAGTCTATAAAAACCCGAAGGCGAGTACGTTAAAGGTGTTAGTGAAAAAGCTTCCCGTGTAAAAGGGTGGCGGCGGTGGGATAATATCACAGAAAAAAAACTTCGATAATATGAATCAAGAAAAAAATATGGGATAAAACGAAAGATAATTTGTTATTTTTAACTTAAAGCTTTTAAGGGATTGATAGCAAGATAGGCGCACAACGCGACCGGTTTTTACTTCTAAAATCGGACCAAAAGTAAACAACAAGGTTCGTCTTCTATATTTACTTAAAACTGAACTCGTATGTCCTTAATTGGTTCACCAGGGTCACAGGGAAAAGTTAAATAAAAACAGCAAAGTCTATCGTTTTTTTCAAACAGTGAGAATGTTTTTAGCGGCATTACTGTCTGCCTCGTAAGGGCTTTAAAATTTAAAAATTTAATTTAAAAGCAATATATGAATAACCGGCACAAATGTTGTAATGAGGTATATACAAACCTAACATTACTTTAGATTACGAAGCATATTCCTGGCGTGGAAGGAGGTCTTGAGCTCGTGCTCTCAGACCCTACTGTGTGTTGTGAAACTATATCTATTACTATAAAGTCTTGCTAAATCCATCTACAAGTTTCTTATTATACAGCGGTAACGTATTGGGATCGTATCCCCTTCAATACCCACCTACATCCCACTAGACAGGTTACGGCAGACGTTTTAAACTAACTCATTTATCACAAATTAAATCTAAA